TCCTAGAATGCCAGTTTCATAGAAGAAAGTATTCTTGCATTGAGGGAGTACTGGAGTGGAGGACCAATGTCCTTCTGCTACCATAATACTAAACCTATAAATATATGCACATAGATCTATTTCCCCATCCTCATATATAAATATATTTGCATATGTTCATTCTGTATCTTAGACCTCTATAAATGCCCTTTGCCTCCCAGCTCTTTACTCTATTTCCCTTGACTTTCCTCCTGTCCCACTGTCATGCTCAGTCCCCACCAGGGTTTCAGCAGTTCCTCTTTGTTACTCCGCTCTGTGCCTTAGCAGCTCTGTGCAGGGACATCATGTGCCGATACGGGGTCTGGATAGTCCCTCTCACTTTGTCCCTCTTGGTTTGCTTCCGTGTGCGTGCAGCATGCCATGCCCAACCTGCAGGTTTCGTGTTGTCCTCTGTAGCACACACTTCTAGGGAAGGGGTCAGTTTGGCTCTGACTGGGGCCAGCCCTTGTAGCCCACTCTGTTCATGCATTGCTCCATGTGGTTACATTGACTTCAAAGTTTCATGTGCTGTGGGGGGGTCTGCGTGCACACTCCCAAGTCTGTGGAGACATAACCAATACTCCCCACCCCCTGGGTGGGTGAGTGCCCTCCTCCCCCAGTGCCATCATTCCCCCCCCCCTTCTTACCCTCAACCTTCCCCCTTTCCCCTTCTTTTTGTTGGAATAACATGTACATCTGTGGGTTTGGTCTGCCTCTCACCCAATTGCCTGCACCTCAACCCGTATAGTGTGAGATAAGTGGCTTTTCTTCTATACCTCCTGTGTTGATTATACTTACCTCAGGGGACTCATGTTGAACTTCCCCTTTTGTGATTGGCTGACTTCACTCAGCAATTTCCTCCAACTCTTGCCATGAGACGGTGTGCTTCATGTGATCATCAGTGCTTTTTCGTGATGTGTAGTACTCCATTGTGTGTATGTGCCAGAGTTTACTGATCCACTTGTCTATCATTGGAAATTTAGGTTGTTTCCAAACTCTATGCAATTGTGAATTGCCCCACAGTAAACATTGGAGAACAGACGACTGGCTGTGGTTTATTTCTTACCTCTTCTGGGTATATGCCCAGTAGACAGATAGCTGGGTCAAGCTATGAACAGAGGTAGGTGTTGTGTTAGTCTGGGTACTTTAGAGAAACAAATACACAAAAACTCATGTATAAGAGAGATTTTTATATAAAGGTTAAGTGCACATCAAGAAAATATCCCAACCCAGTGCTGTCCAAGCCCACAAGTCCAACATTAACCCATATGTCCAATACCAATCCACACAGTCCTCCTCCAACATTAACCCATATGTCCAATACCAATCCACACAGCCCTCCTCCAAAACACATGCAATGATGCCAACTGCAGGAGGAAAGTCGAGTCAGTAAATATGTAAGCATCTCGGCACTGGCAGGGGTCTCCACGTAGCTGCTCCAGCATCCAAGGCTGCATCGGGGTAGGTCCATGTGGCTTCTCCTGAGGGATGCCTCGCAGGAAGTGAGCCTTGTCAGTTGAAGCAGGGAACTGGCTAAGGCAGCTGCACCCTAATCCGACCATCACAAAGCAAGAGACCTGAGAACTCTTAAGGTGAGTCTTACTGAGCCATTTACCTCTCCACCCTTCAATTAACCCCACATATGTTTATCAGCCAGGTTGGCACAATAAACTAACTGAATCAGGTGTGTACATATGTAAATATATTAATCCATAAAAATAGAGGTATTAGCTATGTACATATATTTATATAGCAATACACTGAGGTAGTGGGTGGACTTTGGGCCTCTGCTCAAGCTCTGCCTCAATGCAAGAACACTTTGCTCTAACAACCTGGAGTTCTATGATGCTCACCCTCCTGGCATGATTGCTTGCTGAAGACAAAATGGATGCATAAGCAAATGTGGTCAAGAAATCTGATTGTGCCCAGCTATCAAAAACTATAGCGTCTCGAGTCTTAAAGGCTTGAAGTTAAACAAGCGACCATGTAGCAGAGAAGCAACAAGCCCACATGGAAGAAGAACACCAACCTGTGTGATCATGAAGTGCCATCGGGACTGGATAACAGCCATCAGAAGACCCAGAACAAACAAACATTAAAAGACCATATTGTTGAGAACGAGGGGGGTCAGAGCAGAGGCCCACAGCCTATCTGTAGACAGTGGGACATCCCCTCACAGAAGGGTCACAAGGAAGGGATGAGCCGACCAGGGTACAGTATAGCACCAATGAAACACACAAAATTCCTCCGGATCTTTGAAGCTTCCTCACCCCCATTCTCATGACCCAAGTCCTGCCTTTCACTGCGGGCTAGCCAAGAGCATGAACACAGCTAAGAGATAAGAGCTCATGACATACAGAAACCAGGAACAGGAATGGAAGTAGCAATACGAGGAGGGTAGGGGGAATGTGGGGAGAGAAGAGGAGAAAGTGGGAACCTATCACTATGATTGACACATAACTGCACACACATGCACACACACAGAGGGACCAACAACAAACTGGGGGAAGGGAGACAGCAGTCAGTATCAGATATGAAATGATGATGGCAACATATGTACAAATATGCTTGATACAGTCGATGTATGAATTGTTACAAGAGATGTAAGAGCCCCCAATAAAGTCATCTTTTAATAAAAGAATTTTATTTGAAAGAACAAACATGTGAGCCAGTTCTGTCCAGTGAGGTCTTCAGAGCAGGATGCTGAGAGACCTCTCAAAAAGATTGCCTCTCTTTAAGGGGAAAAAATCATAAAACTGGCATGCTGACTCCTAGCGACACTACACTGGGAGATTTTTAATTACTCGAAGGTACCGTGAGTATTTAGGTGTTACCATTTCGTTTGATTCAGTGGCTGGTGAGCATGCACTTTTAAATGTGGGCCTAAGGGGTTTGGGTTTCATGATTTATAAATTGTGTCAGTCCCAAATGTATTTGGAAGTAACAGAAAACCCCACTCTCACTTATTTTAATAGAGATGTATCTGTCTTGGCACCAAGAAATTTGGGAGGCGTTACTCAGTGAGCAGCCAGAAATCCAGGGTTTCAGAGATCCAGGGTCTTTACAGTTTTCTGCTTTTCCATCCTTAGCTTTCAACGCCTGTTTGTCACGTTAGGGTTACCAAATGACAGCTGCCCCTCCTGGAAGAGGAAGAGGGAAGGGGAAGGGGATGAAGGAGACTGCCTGCTTTCGTCAGGAAATGAGAAGTTTCCCTGGCAGTCCCACTCTGAAATGTCTGGCTTGGGTCTCATTGGCCATGCTCTGGTTGAATGCATCCAGCGAAAGGAGGAGATTTTGGATTTAGTTACATCAGCCGATCAGCTGGGCCAGCCACGCAGATTTGCCTCCCCCCTCCCCCTCCCACCCATATGCATTAATGCCTTAAGCCAGATGATTACCTCAGACCTCTTGTCTCTATGTTAAACTGTACACTTTTGTGTTTTATTAGCCATACTTGTAATGTGTCTCGTGTTATCTTCTTCAATTTAGCTTATACGAGGCAGGTGGTGTGTGCTAAAGAGTTTGTTGAAAAGTCAACTGAAAAGAGAGTGCATTTTTTCCCACAAACGTTGTGAGTCTCCTCCTTATTCCTTCAGGAACGTTTCCGCTTTCCTTATGTTTTCTGAACTAGGCTTAGTTTTCTGAACTGGGCATCACGCATCTCTTTTTCCAAAATTAGGACTCCTGAGCAAATATGTAAATGTGTGCTAAGTTTATGCAAATTCAAATTTCTCTTTTGAACCAGGCATTGTGGTAATTTTCAAATGAGTCTGTAGTTCTAGGATAATGTTTTTTCTTTCTTAGGAAGAACAGAAGATCTATTGAATATCTGAGTTGAACTCGATTGTCGGAATTATTATGCAAACTACCTTTCTCAGAATCTTCTTTTGAGAAAGGAAACCCACAGTCCATTAAAAAAAGAAATCAGTAGTGTTTAAATTTAATACCTGACACTGCATTCAGGATTTACCTACACAAGCTGAACTATTCTTAAATTGTCGACTGAATTGTCTTTCTTTCGATCCACCCCCTACTCGAGCCTACATCCTCGCTCGTGGATGTTTATTCTCAGTCGCTGAGGTACAAACTTTACATATTACTTGAGAATGAAAGACGGCGTAATGTAATGAGCTGCGAGAGGAAGAGCGTCCCTGGTGGCACTGCGGGCTAGGCATTGGACTGCTAACCACAAAGTTAGTGCCTCAAACTCACCAACCGCTCCTGGGAGAAAGACGGGGCTGCCGGCTCCCTTCAAGATTTACAGTCTCAGAAAGCCAGCGTTCATTCCATGGCACTGGGTTGGGTTTGGGTTTGAGGGCAGAGCTAGAGAGTCCTGCTATAGAGAAGATGGAGCCATCCTCTCAAGGGAATAGAGACATAAACATAGAATGGCATGGGGGCTGCGGGAACTTTTCACAGAAAGCAGAGAGATGCCGGCTTAGCAGACAGGGATGAGGGCTTGACCTTCAGGGCAGCTCACTGTAGGATTCTGGATTCAAGGTAGAGGTGAAAAACAGCTTCTGACCCTGCTAAACCGAATGCTAGTTTATCTCAGCAATGGGGAGAGAAAAAGAGGTGTGGATGTCTGTTTTACATACCATATTTTTATTGCTTTTTAAGATGGGCCACAGTTCACAGGAGAATGGACAGTGAAGGGTGTATGCTGAAAGGGAGAGCCCAGTACCTAAGCTGTTTTCCTCGGCCTTTTCATTTTCCCATCGTGTGGTCCATAACAAGAGTTCTTTTAGTGCATACTTTTTATTTTTCCAAGTCTTATTACAGAAAAAGAGAAGGGGGTGGGGAACCAAGTTGCTTCGTTCCTGTTTCTGATCTTGAGACGGAGAGAACTCACTAGTAAATCTAACAGTTCCGTTGCCGCAAACGTTTCCACCCAGTGTTTACCAAGTTATTTACAATTTTTATAGACTGTACTGTACGTGAGGCTAATTGGAAACAGTGACCAGACTCTTAATCATTGTCAGGAAACTGCATTCAGAGAATGAGAAGAACACCTCCACTGGATGAACTGCAGCCACCTCCGTGTCAGGATGACAGTGGTTCTCCCCACCTCTCATGTACACCCTCAGAACTCGGGGACAGTAAACGTGAATATTCCCACTGCAGCAACAGCCCAAGATGCTCCTATGGCAAGTGTCCGAGTGAAGGAAGCACAGGTCACGAAATAGAAAGTTTTCATAACAAAGGATATGAAGAAGATGTGCCGAGTGACAGCACGGCAGTCCTGAGCCCGGAAGTAAGTAAAAGCGCATCGAATGTTGACATGAATGTGATTTGGAGGCTGATAACCCGCGCTTTGCAGACTCTTGAGAAGGGAACTTGGTCTCCCCACTACCTTATCCTTTGGGGCTAGGGTTCCAGGGAGCAGCCTGGAAACCAGATCGGTAGCCAACAGACTTGCCAGGACCGCCCCAGTCCCCACCTCCCTCTAGAGGAAAACGGGCAGCTAACAGTGAGCGCAACGGAAGCATAACCTCCCTCACCTTGCAACCTCAAGATCAATTGCTTTGTTTTGTTTCTAATTGCTTTATAGAAGACATTCTGGGGTTACTTCTATCTCGAACTTGGCGAGTATTTATGTTTGTGAATTTTACAGATTATTGTTATTTTACACTTGATAGGTGCTCATTAATATTGTTTCAATAAGTTTTCGACACACCGTTGCATTTGTCCTCCGTGGACTACGGAAGGGGAAACATGGCGATCGGTTTCACTAGTCGTTTCAGTCCATGGTGTCAATCAGAAGCAGTGGTGGGTGGTTCCGTTTTAAATGAATTATTTCTTTGGAGCAAAGTTGAAAACAACCTTACCAAAAGCTAAAAAGATTATTTTTCATATAATCCTTCCATGATGGTGGAAATTACAATGGTAACGAAGAGGTTTTCGTAAGATAGTTAATCCATTCAGGTTTGCTTTCCTTTCAAGCTTCACAATCACCTCCCCTGCCCCCACCCCTTTTTAAATCTTAGTAACATTTCATAGTGCTATACTATATTGGGGTTCTTGGTGAATTGTCTGATATGCTGTCAAAATAAATTAATGGAGGTAGTTTCCTAATATATAGAACAATTCTACTATAGACAGATTTTCCTTAGTTTTAAGTATTTTTTTCTATAACTGTGAAAAACAGTTTGCTGATAGTATTTCCAGTAATATAATAACTGTCCTGGAAGACAGTCCTCCATTAATATTTTGATATGTGAGGATTTCAAGATCTCCACAAGACTTTGCATCTGTGCTCCATCAGCTGTTTTGTAGCATTTCATACTGTATCGATAGCAACACATTCCCAGCGAATTAACAGCAATGATGGCTATCACCAATTGGGCCAAGAATTGTGCTATGCAGCCTATTGATACTATCTTCAGGAAGTTATTATCTCCATTTTGCAAATGAAAACATTGAAGCACCAAGGGATAAGCAATGCACCCAAAATACTAGTAGTTATTCACTGTATTATATTGCCTCTCCTGTTCTAAATTGTTGTGTGGGGCATTAATATAGTGCCATCCAAGTACACCACCCCCAGGCAAGCTGATTCCGAGGACTTGAATTGCGTGTATGGACACTTGAATTGCGTGTATGGGCACGCGCTCGTGTATTTCTAATATAAAACAAGAAATAAGGAGAGCAAGATGAAATAGGCTAATAAACTAATAGGGTGCAAGTGGGTAGAAAAGCAATAGTGTGTGAATCCTAGTTTATACTCAGACTAAGCTGTTATGTCTTGTCTTTTTCTGCTTCACTAGAACTTCACTATCTGGTCTGGGTTAGGTGTTTGGCTGCTGATTGCAAGGTCAGCAGTTCAAACCCACCAACCAGTTGTCTGCTCTCAGCAAGCTTTACAGTCTCAGAAATATTATGTCAGGATGCTTAGTCAGAATCGACTCTAATTCAGTAGGTTTGTTTGTTTTTTAATAAGAACTAGAGTTGAGATTGAGGAAGGGTGTCTGGGGCCAGTAATAGGCCTTTGATCCCTGAGAGAAATGCATGCAGGGGCAAGTAAACCTGGCCACCACTGAACCGTGCCAGTTAGCCTTCTGCGAATACCTGGGTTTCATCCACATTTGTTAGTTAGAACGCATGAAGGGTATAGCCTTCAGCCCAGAGATGACCATACTCATGGCTTGGGCTATCCATTATGTTTTCCATTCAGACTGTCTGTCCTGGTACATCTCATCTTTTACTGGCTTAGTTACTGTCTCTCGATCTTGAGCCCGTCTTCTGACCTCTATGTCACACAAAATAGCTCCTCACTCATTATCTAAAGTTAACACATCCTCTGGTCCAGGTTTCGTAAATTGCTAAGTTGCTCTCTATGTTAACAGTTTTTCTGTTAGTTTTTGTGTCTACTCTAGGAACATTGCACATATTCAAACAATGCAGCAAATGCGCATTGCATAAACGTGGATAGCCTGTTCATAGAAAATTCTCTCCTGTGCTTTTTAAATTCCTTTTGCTTTTCCTCCCATCTTTGTATTGGATACAAGTTAGCCAACAGAAAAATTCCCACCTTCACCTTGGTTTTATCCAGGATATCCCAGAGCCTATCCACATATGTGATTGCCCTGGAAAGGCAGAGTATTCAGAATCCCATGGCAAGGTGTTCATTCATCTATTGATGACCTGCTGCAGGCTAAATATTATTTAAAACATTTAGCCACCTTGAAAGGGAGGGGTTTTTCCCCCTTACTGCCTCTTAGCAAATTGTAAATGGTAGCTATTACCTAGTTTCACATAAAAGCTACTGTTTACATTTTACAGTAGCATGTGTTAGGATCACTCTCTTTTCTCTGGCTTCACCGGAAGCCCTAGTAGTGAAGTAGCTTGCCGCTTGGCCACTAATAGAGATTGGCAGTTTGGACCGAACCAGTCACACCACAGAAACAAGACATGGCCATCTATTTCCATGAATACTGTAGCCTAGGAAACCCTATGGGGCCGCTCTACTCTGTCGTAAAGGGTCACTATGAGTAGCAACAGATCCCCGAGCAACAAGTTTAACTTGGTTTATTGATCTGATCTCACAAGAATTGCCTGATTGTCCAGAGCAAGGCTTTGGGGAGGAGGGATGTACAAGGAGAGAGGGATTAGGGTGTCACCGGGTGAAATAAAATTCAGAAATATCTGTGTAGTACCTTACAAAACTTTTATTACCTTAAAAATCCTAGCCTCCTTGCAGTATTTTAGGAAATATTTAAATAAGTATATCCAGGCCAAGCAATTAGAAATGCTAAATTACCAATTATGCAATAAAATGCATTAGCATATTTTCCTCTAAACTGCAAGGTTTGGTTTGTTTGTTTTTTGTAAATCAAGAGCATATTTTTGTGATTCAACCACACTGCATTAAAATCTCTAAACTCTTCCTTGAGAGTTTTTCTTCCTCTCTCCAAGAAATGTTTTTCAATTGTGAATTTCCTCCTCCTAGGTGATGCCAGTGTGTCACTGTTGACATTAGTGGATAAGAGTTAACAGGTTCAAAGACTGTGTGTTTAATTCTCTACCGCATCCTTCGTGTAAAAGACAGCCTGGCCCATCGTAAGTGCCACAGCTAGAGTAGGGAATGAGCTACTGTAACGAAGAGACTCCCACATACCATGGTTAGAAAGCACAGGTGCTTGTTTCATTTCCTTTGAACAGCAGGACACAGATGAGGAGTCTAGGGTTAGCAGTCTACCGTGTCATCTGGGGCATAGTTCCTTCTCCTTGGCCACTCTTGGACTAGGATTTTACCCTAGCACACATGATCTCAAGCTGACCCACGCCATCCCACCTCTCAGTCTGCTGGTGGGAGAGGAAAAGAGAGAGTGGAGGGCAAGTAATTTCTTTGTGAAAGCTGATCTGAATATTTTACACATAACTTCTGTTTAATCCCATTGGCCAAAGGAGAGTCATAGGGGCATGTCAGCTGCATAAGAGAGTGAGACATGGTGTTTCCAGCTAACAACCCTCAGGTGTTCTGTCGACCAAGTGCGTGGAGGCAAGACGCTGGGGTCAGCAGCAGTCATTGCCATAGATCATTAATGAATGTGATGGTCACATTTAAAAGTGACCGGTTTTAAGATTTATTAAAATACTTGAAGTGGTAAAGTGATATAGTTGATCTAAATTTGGCCTTGTCGGGAACTAGCTAAAACTCATTTATATTCCAAGTAAAATGGGTACAATTTCTCTTAATCTTATAATTAAATGTACCATTTTAGTCTTTCCAAGATTTTGTAAAAATATGTGTTCCTTCATTTTCAACAGTAATTGATACTAGAAAATAATACAGAGTTTTAACTTTTGGCTAAAAACCAAATAAGAACGTATGTTGTAGAGAACAAATCTCTGCGTGTGAGTTTCTTCAAGCCCGTCTAGATTTTATATTTCCATAGATTTTGTAAGTCCAAATATGATGGCATTGTATCACAGATGAGACATTTTAGAACAAACCCTGAAAATGGGAACAAACATTTGAATAGAATTGTAATTTGATTTATTTGTTTTCTCTCTCCACCCTTTTTTGAGTTCAAATTTGAGTTGTCAAATACATGGTCTAGGATATGGAAACTCAAATGTAGTGGTTTTCTATAAAATAAACAGATACAGGTGAGAGTGTATATTTTCATTTATAGAAAATATATCCAACTTTCTCAAACGTAGGATGCTGAGTATTAAATTATAAATTTATCTTTATTTTCATGAGGCTTTGAGTTTTACGTACCTACATAGACTGCTTTGCCCCTGTAGATTTAGTGTCAGATATAGGTAACTATTTCATTGTGAAAGCGAGTCAAAATTGTTTTCACATAACCTCCCTCAAGAAATATGAGGCACTTATTTACATACCAGATTAAATAATAATGTTAAAAAACTGAAAATATTTAAATTTGCTCTTCTTAGGATATGTCAGCACAAGGATCATCTTCGCAGCTTCCTAAACCTTTTGATCCCGAGCCAGAAGCTAAATATGGCACACTGGATGTGACTTTTGACTATGACTCACAAGAACAGAAGCTTCTGGTAACAGTGACAGCTGTCACCGACATCCCGACATACACCAGGACAGGTGGCAACTCGTGGCAAGTACACCTTGTTCTTCTACCTATAAAGAAACAGAGAGCAAAAACAAGCATCCAGAGAGGACCGTGCCCCGTCTTCACAGAAACATTCAAATTTAATCACGTCGAATCTGAGATGATTGGAAATTATGCAGTTCGGTTCAGACTGTATGGTGTACATCGCATGAAAAAAGAAAAAATTGTGGGGGAAAAGATTTTTTATTTAACAAAATTGAATCTTCAAGGGAAAATGTCATTACCCGTGATTCTGGAGCCTTCTTACAATCATTCTGTAAGTACCTCATCAGGTAGCCTGGGTATAGTTTATGGTCATAGCAGTGTTGTTTTTTTAACCTATAGTCAATTCAATAACTCCCTGAGTCTGTTTTTCACATAGTAATAATACCTGTATACAATGTCTAAACCCTGGATAGGTAAGTACCATTTTTATTCTCACCTGTAAAAGTTGCCCTGGAAGATGATATTTATTTACACATTGTAACTTGGCCTTTACAGGGTCTAGCCTATAGTGTTACACATTTGTTCCTGTATTCAGTATTTATTAGATGATTGATCACGAGGTCCTCTAAACTCCAGATAGAAATTTCACTTTTAACTCCAGCTTAAAAGTAGATGGCACCTGAAAAGCTCTCTAGTTACCTACGTCTTGGCTGACTGTGTTTTCAGACCTATTCTGAGACTATCTTAAAGGTTCAAAAAATAGTATAGTCGTTATCTGTTCCACAAATAAAAATCTCAAAGTATTTCTGGGAGAATTCTTAACTTTAACTTACTTTGAATTAGTTCTCGCTTTTTTTTTTCCTCCAAGGTCTAATCACATGCAAGTATCTCCCCCATGATGTCGTGTGTGTGTGTGTGTGTGTGTGTGTGTGTGTGTGTGTGTGTGTGTTGTGGATAAATTCCCACAAAGGAGAGAAATGTCTACATTGTTTATTTCAACAGGGAGGTGCATTATACCACAGTTATTTATAAGAAAATCTGTGCTATAAGTATAAGTTATGCGCTATATTTATTCTCTCTATTACATTGAATTAAAAGCATTTTAATAATTTAAATACATATATATTTAAGTATATATGTATTTTAAAATGAAGCTATAGTGTTTTGTGGCAGGGCTGTTTTTAGATATGTTATTTCAAGGTTAAAATCCCATTGAATTTATACCAGGCAGCATTTGGTAGAGCGTTGACTTATCACGTCACCATACCATTTTAGCTAGATGATTTGGCCTGTTTCAAAACAAAAGATAAGTAAACCCATATGGGTTTGTATGATAGGATTCAGTCTTTGTTGAGAGAATGAGTAACTTGTTATAGTTTTGAATTTTTAGAATTACCACTTTGGGTACATGCCTTTTAAAAATAACATCTTCAGTTTTTTAAAGGAATGAAAAATAGAAAGTATAGGTAAGATGTCAAAGGGAAAAAGGAACACATTTTTGTTATGACTTGATTATACTATAATCTTCCATCAGAGTTTAAAGTGTTCTTAATATTTTATCTGAGTGATCACTAAATATGTGGAAAATACATCCTTTTGATTGTAATAGAACATTGGAAGTACAACTCTGATATAAAGTAGGAAAAAAATGATGATATACAGAGGTATGTATTTTGTGTTGCGTCCTCCAAGGAGCCCAGGTGGCGCCATGGGTTCACTACTGGACTATAAACTAAAAGGTTGGCAGTTCAAATCCACCAGCTGTTCCACAGGAGAAAGATGAGACTGCTTGCTTCCATAAAGATTGACAACCTTGGAAACCCTGTGGATCAGTTCCACTTTGTCCTGTAGGGTTACTGTGAATCAGATCGACTTGATAGCAGTGGGTTGGGTTGTGGGTTGGTCGTTAACTTCAAAGTATGTGTTCCCAATTTTATATTTATTATATTTGTTTCACACACAAAATGAGGCCACAGAAAATAGGACGGTCTTATTTCTGGTCAAGCTAAAGAATCACATTTTTATGTGCAACGCTATTGCATATGCTGAGGAGCCCTGGCGGTGCAGTAGGTTACACGTTGGGCTGCTAACAGCATTGTCACCAGTTCGAAACCACTAGCCACTCAGTGGGCCGAAGATGAAGCTTTCCACGTTTGTACAGAATTAGAGTCTCAGAAACCCACAGGACAGATCGACCCTACTCTGTAGGGCTTCTCCGAGGCAGCATGGCCTCAGTGGCAGTGAGTTTGGGGTGGTTTGTCGTGCATGCACTGTTTATAAGCGTTGATCCTGCCATCTGCTCTTGCCACACAGTGTACCCGACGGCTGAGGAGTGTTCACAGAGATGTAAGAAAATGTAAATAAATCGTTTTTAAAAACATAAAGTTTACACCTGTATAAAACTATATATCTTTTGCCCTTATAGAATGTTTTCCCCTCAATATTTAGTTGCCTTCTCTCATTATTCTTTTTTTCCATCTCTTCAAGCAAATCTCATTGCTTCCTTACTTTCAGGTTTCTATGCCACAGACCCCTCAGCACATCATGATTATGCAGCTAACATTCATACCTGTGTCCACTAGCTGTCTTCTTATAGAAAGATAACACTGACAGAATACTGCATGTCTTCTGTATGTTTTTATTAGCTGCATCAAGGTGGCTCCCAGCTCAGGCAGCCTCAGGTAAAGGGAATGAAACACTGCTGCATAACTGTTTTGGTCAGTCCTCTGTGGCCATACGGTTTCACTCGCTGATTTTTTTAGGATCACCAGACCTTTCTTCCTTGTCCGAATTAGTTTGGAAGTGCTGCTAAATGAGCAGCAGACAAGCCTCTGCTGATAATGGGTGGTGACTGTACATGAGATGCATTGACTGGACATTGTCCTGCGTGAAAGGTGAAAATTTCCCCATGGAACCACTAATGCCTCTACTCTATATACACTGAAGCATTAATATTGTCTTATCTGGAATTCTGAACTTTCAATTTTCTGGAACATTGATATTAAATTTTGGGAATTTGATATTATAAAAAACTTTGTTACTAGTTTACTTGGGTGAGTTCAACTCTAGTTTTGCAGGATATAACAGTAATCATATTTGTGTATATACATGCACATGTATGGAAGTTTTATTCATAGTAAAACCTATTCTAGTAGACCTTGAATGATTCGTGATTATTATAGTTCTTGGGAACTAGAGAAAAGGGAATCCTTGGTATGTGGTGTCAGAAAGTTTAGTGAAATTATCTCCTGCAGTTAAGTGAAAATCAGACTTATAAACCATAAACTTGTATATTTAGCTAAGAAGATTCCCTAGCAAAATGTTGCCGGTAAATTTTGATCTGTTCTTGATGCTTATAGTGAAATACAAGGGGAGAGAGAGAAATTGAGAGAAAAACTGTTAAACAACAAAAAAGAACGAAGATTTGATGAATTGGGAAATTCAAAGCTTATCCAGATGGCATAGGATGCTGTATTTCAAGAATTTCTACATTTCAAAAGTAGCTGAAAACTGGTATAGAGAAAAAGCTGAAGGTGTGGCTATGCAAATTTTTCTGAAACCTAGAAAAGATCAAAAAGTCCGAGTGTGAAGCCATACAAAAGGCCTTTCGAGGAGATTAAGGGTGTTGCTAGTAGGATCACCTCTGTCAAACCTGAGAGCCCCTGGGCAGCTTTAAGAGAATTGTCCTCCGACCATCCCAGCTGAAGCCAGAGAGAGAGAGGAAGGATTATCTGAAAAGCTGTGTGATCATAGCTCAGTCTAATGACACGAACCTTTGTAAAATTCTCACAAGACTTACCAAGATCCGTGAAGAAAAAAAAAAATCATATCAGCACAAATACTCATGGCTTGGACTGAAAGAAACAGAGAGACACAAATGAAAGATTAGATGGCTAGACCCCCAACATTTCACTGTTAGAACACAGTCTGATCAAACTAATTTTAATGAGTGCTGTTAAACTCATGGCTATGAGGAAATCATTATATAATTAATTTTTAAATGTTGACCCCATTTTATTTTAAGATAGTTGAAAGAAGTCAATGACTTTTTAAAAAAATAGAATTATGAAATATTAGAACTGAAAGTAGGACCTTTAGTGGAAGAGTGGTTAAGTGGTCAGCTGCTAACCAAAACATAGGGGGTTCAAACCCACCAGCCACTATGAAGACGAAATATACAGCAATCTGATCCTGGACGGAGTACCAAATTGGAAGCTATGGGGCAGTTCTACTCTGTCCTATAAGGTCGTATGTGGCAGAATTGACTTGACAGCAGCAGAAAAGGTTTTAGAAGTAATTTAGAGAGATCAAATTGCTTACCTAGTTTCTCATGGATGGCCACCTGGTGCAAGAGCTAGACTTGGAATGTAGTTTCCTGATTTTGAAAGAATACATTTGTAACATTCAATTTACTTTAAGAATCCTAGATCATTCTGTACAAGCTCTCTTATGTATGAACCAGCTTCTAGGGAGGTGAGTTAGGCTAGGTCCTCTAGAGAAGTAAACTGGATATATATATATATTGTATGTATATATGTATATGGAGAAATTTCTATCAAGAAAGTGGCTCACACAGTTGTGGAAGTGGGCAAGTCCAGTCTAGTTCAAGTCCATAAATCACATGTTAAGCTGGAATCTTTTCTTGATTCACATGTCTGCCAGGGCTGATAAACCAGGAAGCAGGAAGACCACAGGCAGGAGGCAGAGGCGGAGTGAAGGTCAGCAGATCAAGCTCATGGCTGCCTAATAAAATGAATACAAGGTCAGCAGGCAGTATGACGGATGCTGATAATTCCCAGCATCAGTAGGCAACATGGCAGGCCACTGGCTCAAGCCCAAAGAACCAGAGGTCAAGGCAACACATGCAAGAAGAGGCAAGCCTTACCACAGGGCCTACTTAAATAGGAGTAGGCCACACCCCAAGGAAACTTCCTTTCAATTGCAGCAGTGTAGTGAACTGAGAAAGGAGGCTGCACGCCTCCCTAGTCCTCTTACAACTGCCTTGTTGCTCATAGCAGACTCATCACGGAGTCACTTACATTACGTTGGATCACATTATGGGGGAGGCTTCAACTGCCAAACTGCTGAGAATCCTGGCCCAGCCAAGCTAACACAAAAACCTATCACAGAAGGGAATGAAAAAATTTTGGACTGAATCACCCTCACAGATTCTTCTTTCCAAATACCTAATGAATAGAGTGAAAACTATGAAAATTAACATAAAATTTCCACCACCCATCTGTCAGTTTGTCAAAGTACTATAGGCTATGATGCTGGAAGATGTGCCACCAATATTTCAAATACCAATAGTCACTAATAGTGGACAAGTTT